AGGTGGCGGCAGCTACCGGCCAGAAGAGAGCGCTACTATCGGTCATATAGCCGCCAGTCGTCTTCGTCGCAGGTCGGCTTCCGTCCCGTGGCTTTGTCTTGGAATCTGCCTCGGTCAACTCTGGTGTGAGCTTACGCTCTGAAGCCGCAGGGAAGAAATAACAACGCGATGTCAATGTCAGGCTTGTAACTTCGCCAAGTCCCACGGGATTCTACAGAGGAAAAGAAGGCAAGGGTTGTGACCGCGAATCGCCAATATGGAACATGCCATTTTTGCTCATTGAGACCATGCTTGTGAAACAATGGGCGTACCGAAAAAATCGAGCCTAAACTTGAGTTTTCGTATGCCATTTTGGTACCTTTTAGAAGTGTTTAGATACAGTGTAAACAGATGGCAGTCTCGTGTGACTGGCTGGACCCAAATCACGTGACTTACCCATGTTCGTGCGTTCAAACCAAGAGACGTATATAATGGCGACATCACTTCATGGAAGTAAAAGCTTCAAGCACCTAAAAAACATCGGCATTCAGCGTATCCATTGAAAGCGTCATCGACTTAGGCGCCGGGCCTATACAGAGGTCTGTAAATGGAGGCTCGTGCCGTTCGAGGAGATCTTTGTACTGGACCATGGACTCTGGAACCGTTTACGTCATAGTCTGAAGAGTGGATTCTTACAGAATCCCAACAAGCGGATGAAATGGTGGTGCCCTGCCTCCTGGGGCTAACTAGTCGTGCGTCATTGAGTACTTTATCTTTGGATGATTTGCGTATGTTAGACTGCGAAGTTAAAGTGACTGATGACACCTTCTTAAGCCAGGTTAATTCTTTGTTCCCTTTGTTCTGAGACCATTCTCTTCATTTTGTCACAGCATGCGAATGATCAAAACGGATATGTGACTTATTTTTTTGCTCAGATCGATAACGTAAAGCCGAAAACAAGACAACTGTCACCTATACCTGCTTCATAATTTGCCGCAATCGTTGTCGGCATTGTGTTGGGTCACTACATAAAATCTTGCGTTGCGGTGTGGCGTGGTTTGTTAGACGGATTGATTCCGACGGAATTTGTATTAATATTGTCCAATGCGTTTCGCAGCTCAACGTGTGATGGAGACCGTTAGCAGCTTTTTTTGTCATAATATACTGCCGTGTCTAATATCGTGCTATTTGCGTACAGTTTCTCAGGTTGCAGCGCGGTGCCAACTTGCTCCGTGTGCATACGTGCAAGAGTGACCCGATGAAAGGGGGAAGCCCGCTCTATGCCTACAGTGTTATATATGTTGATGCTGCGCTGACAAAGACCAGATTATTTAAGCTCAATTCAAAACTGGCAAATAACTAAATCAATGAGCCTCATCGAAAAATGTGCTGTCAGTTTGGTAGGTAGCATGTATGGCTTTCTATGACGGGACATTGGGGACAACCTCGGCTGTTGCCAACCGCCAGAGGTAAGGGATGCTCTGCGGTGACTACACAGCCATTTGGCTGACCTGTCGTGCCTTGAACCGGATAGCCGCCTGGCCAATACAGTCAATTTCACCGACTCGTGACTGACCTGGCCGACAGCCCATCTCACCGACTCGTGACTGACCTGGCCGACAGCCCAGCTCACCGACTCGTGACTGACCTGGCCGACAGTCCAGCTCACCGACTCGTGACTGGCCTGGCCGACAGCCCATCTCACCGACTCCTGACTGACCTGGCCGACAGCCAAGCTCACCGACTCGTGACTGACCTGGCCGACAGTCCAGCTCACCGACTCGTGACTGGCCTGGCCGACAGTCCATCTCACCGACTCGTGACTGGCCTGGCCGACAGTCCACCTCACCGACTCGTGACTGGCCTGGCCAACAGTCCAGCTCACCGACTCGCGACTGACGTGGCCGGCAGCCCATCATATTGACTCGTGACTGACCTGGTCGACAAACGTGCCTCGCAAAATCGACCGCCTCAGCCCGATGCCTCATTATCGACGCTTCAGTTGAGTTGGACCGTTTAGTTTCGGCTTAGCAGACAGCTGAAGCACTTAGATCCAACCACGGAGCTTGGTCATTTGCGTTCACATAGCGCGTCGCGCCAGACATTCTACTGTCCAAAGTACACGATATCTTAAGTACGTGATGTCCAAAGTACAGAATATCCAAAACAGTTCCCAGAGCGGCCGCCAGGGCGTGGATGATCGCGCTTATTGACAAGAAGCGTTGCCCCGCCCAGAGTCGGCCTCGCGCATACAGTGCACACCGTCGCGAGGACTACGCGGGATTGCTAGAATTGCTATAAATCCATTCGCCGAGGTAGGCGACACCATAAGGCCTGAGCAGCTGAGTGTGTCGTAAAGCTCCAATGCAAACGACGACGGCAACGACCCGATAAAGTCGCTTGGAGGTCCCGCGCAGAGCATTGGTCACTTACTGTCAAAGCTAAGCCCAGTAGCGGGCCCCTGCATTTTGGACTGCTCCTGACGAACATTGAGGGCAAGTGGAATACGAAATGCAATGGTAGCCGCGTCATGCGTGAAAAAAGCTGTCGAGGTCGACACACTGGCATCGGGCAATATTGAACGCCGATATCGACGGTACTTTTCTCAGCGTCTTATAGATACATGTTCGAGAAATATTATAGAATATCATCGGGCATCTTGCACCCGCATCGCTGTTACCATTTAATATGCTTCAGCAATAGCAAATATACTTCAGAAATCGGTCATGGTCCCAGTGCGAATAGCTGAATAAAGATAGCACCGTTCAATATGGTATTATAGAAACACCGCATGGCCAGAGCGGGCTGAGAGCTGCCCGAAGCACGGACCGCTAGATTTGAGGATGTAGATGACCGAAACCAAGCATAAGGTCAGGAGAGGTTTCTTACAGAACATAAATGTTCAAAGCAATAATTGCATCGACATTTCTAGACATGCTCTACATGGAAAACGCTGTATATGTGACGTTCCAAGACGACGCGCGCACGTCTGACCTGGGAAAAGCCTACGACTGTGCGTAGGGATTTTGATATGTTAAGGTCTGTGGTGTCTTCTGCGGTTATATTTTAAAGTTCATAGTGTGTGTTGCACAATGCGGAATCTACGAAGCCACGCGCGCGTTGCACCGTCTCGAGCAAACTGCACGTGTGCGAAACGCGCGGGTCATGACGGGCTTACCTGTCATGTTTTTGCCTAACGATGTTCAAATTCCGTAAATGCGTGCCACTCAAGTTTACAGTAAACCGATTTCAAATGTTACGTTTCAGTTACCACACATAAACTGTCCCTGGACAAATGTTACAAGATGTTTTATATCATGGCTCGTTTTCTGTTCCTTTTCTTTCCAGCCCACTGACGTGTCTGCGACAAAGTCTCGCCTCCAGCAAAATGCTAGGGTTTCCAGGGCGGATCAGCTAGAAGAAATTTCGAATTGGAACTGCTAGTCATGCCGCCCTAGAATCACGCAAGCTATCTGCAATCATTCCGCCGTGCACTCGTGCGACGGTATTCGGATTCACCTGTTGGCACAGTGCGTCATCTATGGCACAGTGCGTCATCTATGGCATAGTGTGTCATTGATGGCACAGTGCGTCATCTATGGCATAGTGCGTCATCTATGGCACATTGCGTCATGTATGGCACAGTGTGTCATCTATGGCACAGTGCGTCATTTATGGCACAGTGCGTCATGTATGGCGGAGTGTGTCATCTATGGCACATTGCGTCATCTATGGCACGGTGTGTCTATATGTGCGGAATATGTTCACTTCACCCTTCCATGTCCTTTTTTATTTTAATAGGACTGGTATCGAGGACACGCAACACAAGCGGCACCCGGCACTCCGTGTTCCGGATATGTGTTCTCGCGGAAAAATGAGCGTTATTTCATATTCATTTCTTATATTTTCAAGTCACATCCAGTCTACCACACCCACACGACTGAAAGGAGAACAACTGAGGGCATAACTGAACGCATTTGTGATATGAGGACCACGTGTCTTTTAGCCAGGGGTGTGCCATATTGCACAACAGTATAATCGAGGTCAGCATGGGTTTCCAGCACATCGCTGTGTTGTAGGTCCCATGTGGCAGTACCACAAATATGGCGTCGAGGATCCAGTCAGCTGCATTGTTTGCCGTGCGCTGGCATGAAAGGCATATCGGGATGACGTTACTTAATGTTGGCAAAAAAATCTAACAGCGAGTCAGTGTCCTGGGCTTTGATACCAAAAATGTCGTCGATACATCGGATGTACAACAGTGGCTTTCGATGAAGGAAAGATGATTCAGTATATAACTGCTACAGCTAGGGTGGTGCACGGCGGTTACCTATATTAACGTCTTTAATTTGTACACTGAGCTTGCGAGGCGCACCAGATTATTGTCAAATATGTCAGCTGGTGCATGGAAACAGTCAGTCAGTTGGGATCAGACTCTACTGCAGTGTTTCAACCGAAAATGGTTATCGTCATCAAGGTATATATTTTGATTTTAACATGGCGTGTTGTATAAGATGACAGAACTTCGACCTACGAACCGGTTGTTTAGTAATGAAAAAACAAGCAATAGACTGATGGGGTGAACGCATGTATGATTTCCTCCAATTTCACCTTTCCTACACTTTTTTTGCTCTGCTGTATGTTGTAAGCTAATCGCGGTGAACATGTAGGTTAGATTTAATATTCAAAGATTAGATCGAACTGGATGAACACTGGGCTGGATGAAAACCGTGGGTTGAATACTGGATTCGGTGGTCGAGCTATGAGATGCCATGATCGTCCCTGTCGCGATGTGGTCTCTGCCTTTTTAAATACCCCTGGCGTTCACCACAGTACACCGTACAGAGCTAACCAGGTAGCAAAACATTTTCACCAGCATGAGTCCTCAATAAAAGCGGGACCCCTGTCACCCCGCTCTAAAAACTCGAACGATGCGAGCGTTTCAAGCTTGTATTTTCAGAATCACACACAACAAGGCGCCTCACGTAACCGTGAGCCCGCTGCCGAGCCGTCCAACCCCATCAGTGGCGGCGTGTCCAGCCGCTGGTGGGGTTGGCTCCTGGCAGGCGCGGCGGTCCCAGGCGGGCCCAGTGGTTCGAGGGGCCCCGGCACCGGACGAGGGAGGAAGGAGGGTCCGGCACCGCGGGCCCCGGTCCCCAGTTTGGCACGTGTACATTGGAGGGCCCCTGGTAAGGTCACAGAGGACCAAACACAGGGGCTGTGGGGTCCGCCGGGGGACGATCTGCGCCCGCCAGCTCAGCAGCGGTCGTGACATGTCAGCGGTCGTGAATAACGAAAGCTTTTGACCTGAGCGAGGTCATACCCTTCAGGGGATTTGACTCACCAGGGGTCATGAGCCAACCAAGATTATAATCCAACGGCTGCCATGACCCGCGGGAGGTCGCGACCCGAAGGGTCATGACCCGCGGAGGTCATGACTGAGGGCCTGTGGGTCATGGTCCGAAAGGGCCATGACCAATGGCACATAGTGTTCCGATATATCGTGTCTTCCTCAGTTACCCTGCGGTAACCAACCGGGCAATGAGCATCGATTGGGGGCAATTACAGGTCCGTCCACCTCAACACGAAAATTGCGCGGTTATCTAACAAAAGCTCAGGGAATGTGTCTTTCCCGGAGTTTCTGGCAAAACAATTGAAGCGAGGTCATTATCATGGTCCAAGCTGGGCTCCAATGTTAAGGCATGGCTATCAAAGAACATCTAGAATTCGCAATCAGCTACATATGGTGCATATGTCATCGTGGTCAAGTCCAAATTCAAGCGCATATCGTATCCATGTTGACCTTCATGAGCGCGTTATAAGACACATAGATGCCACCTCATTCCCGCTTGCCAACGTTCAGTATTTGAAACTAAAGGCAGCATCTTACCAAATATTGGCTCGTTCGGTTACGTTCCGAGACCGTCCTGAATCATCTGACGTTATTGCTGGCTACCAACTCCGAAATTTAAGGCTACTTGGACGGGCGGAGTTCACGACGCGGAACATCGCAACACGACCCAGAAGCCTCTGGTCCCAATTTTGGGAGCTCCCAGTCGGAAGGTCCTTTCAGGCACCGGCTGGCATCCCGCCCCTTCTCTGCGCGACTACGCCAAATCGAACAGATCGTCGTCATCGTCGTCATCGGCGACGGTGGCGGCGGCAGGAGCAGGGGCGGCAGCGGCGGCGGCGGCGGGGGCGGGGGCGGGGACGAGCGCCTGCTCGTCGGCGGCGCGTGCGGCGCGTCTCTCCCGACGCAGCCGGCGGCGGCGCTCCCTGTCGGCCGACGGGGTGCGCACGCGGCTGCCGTCGGCGTCGTCGGCCGTCTGGAGCACGGCACCCCTTCGCGAGCGCTTGTAACGCACCACGCGACGTCCGGCGGCCGGCGTCTTCATGATGCCAAGCTCGTGAGCCGTCCAGCGCACCTTGGTCACGATCTGCTCCTGCATCATCTGGATGCACATGCTGATGAGCGCCATCCCTGTCGATGGAGGACGTTAGGCGCGAGCCGCTGGAGGAGCGGCGCGAGGCGGCAAGAGCGCGGAGTCCGCTGGGGGAGGCGGCAAGAGCGGAAAAATCGGCAAGAGGTCACGCGGGCTAGTCAAACAAAACGAATATGTCTGCAAATCTTATCAACAAATTTTTCAGCATTTGGGCCATTTGTGATGTGTTTGTTACGTGAAATTTATCATTTGTCATTTTTTGTCATTTTCTATCAGAATTTGCCTCTTATGGCATTTGTTTGTTGCTGTTTATCATTTTACAAACAGAAACGATTAGTCACTGACTACATCACGTAAACACACCGAAACAGAATTGCCATCGGCAATTTAGCTTGCGTCGGCTCGCAAACAAACAGGGCGCCATACCGTCATGTCCGACTCGTTCCTGGGGGGAGGGGTTATGGGGCATGACGGCATGGCATGCCTCTCCACATGAAGAAGCTGCGGGGCATCTGGACGATCGTTCTTCCTGATCCGCGGACGAGAAGAGGTGCTGGACGAATAAACGTGAAATATTTAGGGAGATCGCATTTCTACGATTTTGCATTTTCAGCACCGAAAAGACAGCTAAGTAAAAACTACCGCATCACTAAAAAGTAAATAACTACCGCATCACAGACAAACCATCACAAAGGCAACAGAATTGGCGAAATTGTTTCCATGTAACTTAATTCACATTTGATCAGAGTCATTAATCGAAAGATGGAACTTAAAAGTAAAAGTTGATCTCGGTCTACTTCTCCGTCAACGAACATGCCTTTCGAGGGTGTTCCATGACGCGCGTTAAGCGCGAGTGTCCAACGTGGTTCGCTGACACCCAACAGCGTAATTGAGCATCAAGTGGTTGAGTGCACTTTGAGGGAAATATGAGCACCTTAAAGCTCTGAGTCATGAACTGGCGGAATGTCAAATGTTGGCCCATGACCACTGCGTCAGCACTTACGTAAGGTACAATGCTGTTTGTATTACCACGCAATGGACTAAACGACTGAAACAACTAGCCCTCATCGCTGGAAGCGTTAAGTTTGACCGGTTTAGCTTTTGACCGGGTTTGACCGTAACCGTGACCGTGACGGGCTTTATGGTTTGGCGAGATTGCGCGTAAACTGGAGGAGCCAATGTGCTCGAGCCAAAGCATTAACGTGATGTTGCAGACATGTGTTAGGCTGCTGAAACCTTGCCAAGATGAAGGTAACTTTCCTTGTTTCCCTGGGAGCAAATCAATCTTGGGACAAGTGAGGACACGCCATAGTGCTTTGCATATGTCAACTCGCAAAGCAACTTCATGGACATTATTGTGTTATCAAATGAATGAAAAATGGTCACAAACACGTCTATTTTCTGAGTACTTGAAGTGCAATGCGCAAGAATGCAGCATACCACTATACATTTGCGCAAAGGGGTCGTTTTATTTTTCACATTCATTTAACAATGGCGAAGGCGTAGCTGTGTCCAAGCCATGTCAGCCCCGGTAGCTCAGTGAGCTAGAGCGTTTGCCTTTTGACCCCTGTAGCCGGGTGGGTTGAAGTCGCTGCAGGCGCTCTGTGTTTGTCTCTGACCGATGACCTGGGTTCTATGGCAACGTTCGCGCTAAAGGTCATGTGACGTCAGAGGGCTGGACGGACCACGCCGAGCATAACAGCACGTTAAGCTTCTGCCTAAAAACTCTGCTGTTGACCCGACATTTCATAATCGTGTGGTGACGTCAGGGCCCATGAGACAATCACTGCTTAGCGTCGGCGCTGGCAGTAGCCCATTACTGTCAGCCAGGTGTGAACAGATCAAATTGTGCTCGAAACTCACCGAAGATGCAATACACGATCGTAAACGCCATCTTGAAAGACGCCATGCCGTCATCGTTGGTGTCGAGGAAGCTGAAACGCGACCGGTCGTTGAAAAAGGCACTCGCGTGAAATCACAATACACTTAAGTGAATCATGACAAACGACAACTTCTCGACGAAGTCGGCTGAGTCGCTCACCTGTTGCCGGGCACCATATCCCCGAAGCCGATGGTGGAGAGGGTGACGAAGCTGAAGTAGCAGGCCGAGCTGAAGCTCCAGCTTTCCCAGGTGGCGAAGATGACGGCACCAAAAACCAGGCACAGGCCGATCAGGATCAGGTTGATGACGATGGGTACCTGGACCTGCAGATAAACCAGTATCAGGGGCACATTGGTGGTGATGATAAGTGGTGGGATACGCCAATGACTCGCGGCTGTATCGCCTCTGATGACTGACGTTTCGGGAGTTTGCGGTTAGATTGTGTGGTTGATTCTAGGTTCCCGAACCTTGAAAGATGTATACTATTACAGCGATGTTTACTACACCCAGTGGCGTATCCAGGGTTTCGTCAAGGGGGGCGAATACACAACATTGAGGGCTCCATTGAGGTGTGACGCCCCTCAACAAAAGCTCGGATTCCGGTCATTCAACTTTGAGACTCTCATACATGCTAATTGCATGCGGTAAACCATGTTCCTGTGCACAGCCCTAGAAAACTAGGCCTGGTGCATATGCGCACACAAAGAGCGGCTCATTTTCTCCTGGTCATGGTGGGCCCTGTCATTCTGAAGCTTATCATTTTAGAAAATATGGCAAAATGAGCCTTACTTGGCCGCTAAATACCATCAAAACCAAGCTCGACACCTGATCCCGAGGTTGATTATAGCTAGCCGGTTTCCGGCGGCTAGTCGGCTAGCCGATGTGATCAGCTGATTGCTGATGGCTAATGTAGAATATTTGCTTTGGCTGTAATGAAGGATTTAAAAATATCCTCGGCATTACGAAATGTTCAACAACAGCCGTCTCGACGCACTGAAAAAACATTTTCATGTTAAGAAGTGCCGTCTCCCCTCCCAAAAATCCTTTTTGATCCGGTAAAACACCCGTTCGATGTTATGGTCATTCACATAGAATCCGTATGATTAGAGGGCGCCAAGTGTTTTGTTGCGAGCGCTCGACCCAATGTTAATGCTCATTTTAGAGCTATTTGCTGGCCACCTATGGGTGCGGATGGATTAAAGATAGCAATCTTTTTTTTTCTGCGCCCCCTCCCCTTCTCCTAAACATGCATGAGTTTGGACAAAAGTGAGACTACTGAAGTCGCCTTGTAGCGAAAAGTCAGACCAGCCCTGGGCACTCATGCTTCTTTCCAACTAGTGCTATTTCGGGACACTGTTAAAAATGCAAGCAATACATTAAAATTGTCGAAACGAGACGCTTGCTACCTTTTGTAGAGGTCTTCCATACCCAGCCGCTAGCCATGGCTACCGAGATGTGTCAACCTAATACCCATCCGGTGGTATTTGTTTTGGGATTTGGAAAGTTACCGAAGGGTTTCAAAAAATTAGCACTTATGTCTACTGCTGTGCGTTGATAATTGTAACACTAGTTTGAATGAAGCTAATTATGATTATAACTAAGGCAAACCGTGACATTGTATATTTCTTCTCGATGAATGTGCCCGACATTCTTAAATGGCTTACTCATACCCTTGCCCTGGTATGGTAAGGTAAAGGTGTGGTAAGCGTAACCCCTAATTTCCACAAAATATGTAACCAACCCAGCCCGTCACCCGTTCCATATGGGTACCTGTCGAACCCACCCGTGAAGTTTTCCACCTCAACGCTTTTCTTTTTTAGCTGAACGCTTCGATTACTGTTAATGTCCTCATATCGCGACCGGAGAGCATCATAAGGCATAGCACAGGCGTGAAGAACAAGGGAATGATGCGAGCCTTTGCTCACCGGAGTTTCTTGGCGTAAACTGAAGGTACTGGCTTTTCCCGTCGGTGACCGGCACGACCGCATACCTTGTCGGTGGGCATGAAGTTCTCGGATCCCACCACGTCGTCGCTCAGACGCTTGGCTCTCTTGCCGGGGCCAGCCTCGGACCGGTAACGACGGGAGCGACACCACCGGCAGCAGATGCGACTAGAAGCGGGCACAGTCACAGTCACAGTCACAGTCACAGTCGCAGTCAGTCACAGTCAGCATCACAGTCACAGTCACAAAAGCCGCAGCTACAGTCACAGTCACAGTCATAGCTACAGCCATAGTCGCAGTCGCAGTCGCAGTCGCAGTCACAGTCACAGTCACAGTCACAGTCACAGTCACAGTCACAGTCACAGTCACAGTCACAGTCACAGTCACAGTCACAGTCACAGTCAGTCACAGTCAGTCACAGTCAGTCACAGTCAGTCACAGTCACAGTCAGTCACAGTCAGCATCACAGTCACAGTCACATAAGCCGCAGCTACAGTCACAGTCACAGTCATAGCCACAGTCACGGTCACAGTTATAGCCACAGTCACAGTCAGTATCGCAGTCAGCATCACAGTCACAGTCACAGTCAGCATCACAATCGCAATCGCAGTCACCGTTACGGCTATAATCATAAGACATAGTTATATGCCGCAGCCGCAGTCAGACTTGTGTTCTACTCGAAGTTCGTAGAATCGTGTTGCCATTGATTCATTATCTCTGATGAATGATTCAGATCTTATTCAAAACACGTTTCATCTGTTGCATCTCAGTGAATAAACCCTTTTCTCACAGGTAAGGTGTGACGATTTTATACTGTACTGATGATACTGATTGTATACTAAAATCCTAGAAAATGAATCGATTCATTTAGCATTCACTCTGGCTTTGCTTGATTGGAATGAATTATTCCTAGGAACGCCAATGGTTCGATTAATGATTCACCTTTTATTGCATATGAAAAATTGAGCCACTAGAAACTCATTAAAACTGATGTAGCCAATGAATCATAAATCGATGCATTTTTAATTAAGCACAGATCTGGTCACAGTCCCAGCCAGCACAACCGACAGCAGATGCGACTGAAATCGGGCAGCCAGAGTCAACCGAAGTCAGAGCCATGTCACCAGTCATCACAGTCTTAGAGTTTCGACCGCAATCACCGGCAGCGGACGTGACTGGAGCCAGGCAGCAGCCAAAAACAGTCAGAGTAATGTTAATCTTAGCCGGCATCGCCGGCTGCAAACCCGGCTGAAACCAGGCACAGTCGCCGACGCGGTCGGTAAAGTCACAGCCGCAGTCTCAACCAGCACCACTGACAGCAGACTAGACTCGAACCAGTCTCAGTCACCGACACAAGCAGATTTACAGTCACAGTCACAGACAGGCAGAGTCACAGTCACAGGCAGAGTCACAGTCTCAGTTACAGGCAGAGTCACAGTCACAGGCAGAGCCACAGTCACAGTCACCGTCACCGTCACCGTCACCGTCACCGTCACCGTCACCGTCACCGTCACCGTCACAGTCACAGTCACAGTCACATTCACAGCCACAGTCACAGACACAGGCGGTCATAGTCTCAGTCGCAGACACAGGCAGAGGGACAGTCACAGTCAAAGCGGTCAGCGCCGACAGCAGACGGGACCGCACGGCGCCAGACGAACTCGCGCTTAACTCTGGCTGCAGCGAAGAGCCAAAACTGCCGGCGGCTCGTGCCACTCACTGCACGCCAAGCTTCACGCGGGCACAGCCGCAGTAGACCTTTATCTCAGCCCACAACTTTGGTGGCGCCGATTTTGCGCACGTTTCTGGACGGCCCCACACGTAGAGTTTCGCCTGGGCTGCTGGCGGTCGCCTCAGTCCAACGTCAACCTCGTGTACCGAAGGAAGTCGACGTGTCTGGAAGGCTCTGCGGAGCTAGCCTTCGCGCGGATGTGCGCCAAGGTCGATGCTTCTCCCTTTCGATTTTCACGCTGCAAACGTGCGTTCAAGGTGCGAGGAGTCCTTTCGGACCCACTCGCCTGTAGATGTAGGTGAAGGTCTTGGCCATGCCGTCGCCGACGTTGGCCAGGAAGACGAGCAGCAGCGGCGAGCCGATCATGGCGTAGATGATGGTGAAGAGCTGGCCCCGGAACGTCCGGGGAAAGATGTGCCCGTAGCCGATGGTGGTCATGATGCTGATGGTGAAGAGAAGAGCCTTGGAGAAGGTCCAGTCCGTGTTCCAGCCGTCCACGGTGCCGTCGTATTGGTACGTGTTGACGGCGTCCGCCACGTATTGTTCCAGCTGCTTCAAGCTATTTTGGACCTGCCCGAGTTAGAGCCGCATGTTACAGAACCATGCTGGGCACGTGATAGCCTGGGGGGATGTGTCGCCGACTCCCACTATCACAGCGGAAACAAGAGAGAGAGAGAGAGAGAGAGAGAGAGAGAGAGAGAGAGAAGAGAGAGAGAGAGAGAGAGAGAGAGAGAAGAGAGGAGAGAGAGAGAGAGAGAGAGAGAGAGAGAGAGAGAGAGAGAGAGCAAAGGAAGAGGGACAGAGAGAGAGAGGGGGGGGAGAAAGAGAGAGAGGGAGAGAGAGAGAGAGAAAGAAAGAGGGAGGGGAAAAAAGAGACAGAGAGAGGGAGAGAGAGAGAAAGAGAGAAAGAGAGAGAAAGAGAGAGAGGGAGAGAGACAGAGAGAGGGAACGAGGGCGAGAGGGAGAGAGTCCTCACCTTGCGGTCCCATTGCAGCCAGGTGATATTAGGGTTGGCTTGGTAGTGCCAGAAGAAGGAGGAGATGTAGCTATTGGCGTCCAAGATGTCCCTGGCCCGGTTCTTTTTCAGCAGGTACCGGTGCGCTTCATGCTCTTTCTCCAACTCCATGAAAGCCATAGCACCTACCGGGTAGGTGTCACAGATGCAGGAAAAAAGCAGAGACACTGGCAGTCAGACCACTACACCTGTGCACCCGGCAGTCAGACCGCTGCACCTGTACACCCAGCGGTCAGACCACTACACCTGCATCGATGTAATCCTGAGCGGTAAGGTTACTCTCGTGGGTGATGCCGTGGCTTTGAACTATTCCCGTTTCAGTGCTTGTTGGCTTTTCAGTTCACGTTCCGATCTTATTGGCTTACGAATCATTATTCGCTTCAAGCTCTAGAGGTCTTTTGGCATTAATTTCATTCAGTGCGTGCTGAACCAACCAGCAAGCTCAGGAAGTGCTGTTTGCAATTGCTATGATGTCTGCAAGGTGCTCCTTCCTGCCATCGACGAGCGGTTGCATGTCAGCGGCATGCTAAACCAAAGTGGAAGCTCGAGTGTGCACGCTCATTTTGTTGAAAAAATGTCGATCGTTGTCGTGGAATTTCGATAGCTGTGGCATCGTTACTCATACCAAATGACAAAAAACACCTTTTATTGCACTCGTAGGTTATGATGCATAAACACGACATACCGGAATTATACAAAAAGGCGCGCGTTTTACCACGGAGACCATTTACTGGCAAGGCTCACGACCCACGGCCCACGACCCACGATCCACGGCCCACGGCCCACGGCCCACGACCCACGGCCCACAGCCCACAGCCCACGGCCCACAGCCCACGGCCCACGGCCCACGGCCACGTTCCCGCGTACAGAAGAAAAGAGGAAAGCGGTGAACTGACTCGGTGCTTCTGTGAGAAACCACCAGGGGCCACCCATATGCTACGCTACGCATGGAGATGATGGGGAAGGATGGAGCGAAGCGTAAACAGCGAGGGGCTTGGGCAGGGTAACTGTCCCCGCAGCTGTGGCCGCAAACCATGTTAAATTATTTTGTGGATGCCTTAAAATCTTAAATCTGGATAACGTTGGATCCTTCTCATGACAGGCAACACGCACATTCTTGTTTCATATCTCCAGCTCAGTTAGGGGTCAAACGGACGTCGTTACCCTTTTTGACATCGCACGTTACACAGCGCAATCAGAGGGAGGGGCCTTGCGCATGGTAACGGTGCGTCGCAATGGAGGAGGAAGCGGGGATATACAAAGCAAGAAATGTGTTACGTATGAAAACGAAATTTATGAAGAAGTCCGCATCCAAGGACAACAGATGGTGCCAATGAGCATTAGCTACCACCGCCCCACGTCCATATTTTCTCAAGCGGCGGAGCAGCGTCAGGCGGCTCCCCGACCCGGAGCGCGCATGTTATCCGACCTCGCACTGAGCATATCGCCGATCGCGCGTGGTGAAATTGCAGGACTCAGCAGCCAGCCGCGCGCGGCGGGCGCGTTCGCACAACCTCTGCTCTTCCTCCAGGTACTGCCTTCTGATTGGTCAGCAGAGGGAGCCGGTCTGACGAATCACGTGGATCGTACGCGCCGCCGCGCGCGGAGGAGTCCGCGCGGGGGGAGGGGAGAATTGCTGACAGCGCGCCTGCACTCCCGCTCAACTGCCGCTCGGTTCGGCGCGTGGCGTATACGAAGCGGTCAACGAACGGCACGGACGTAACTTAGAACGTAACGGGCCTAAGTATCTGACCTTAACAAACATAACTTCAGTGAACGGCCATCAAATATCATTGGGGGTTCAGGCGCGTGGTTTTCATTGATGCTCGTATGGATGGGCTACAGTCTGGTGAGCCTTGTTAGTATCATGCGGTCAGATAGTGGGTTCGCCGCCTCTCGCGGCTTCAATCCGAGGTATGCAACACAAAATAACACCGAGCCGGTATCGCTGGATATCGTTTCTCTCTTCTGTCTGGGCAAATCGTGGCGCTCAGTTCCCATTGCTGGAACCGGCATGCAAGTTCATGACGCTTTTCGAGGGCCTGATTTTTCCGACATGCATATGGCGCAGATGTGACAACTCAACCTAGTTTTGAGGGCGGTGGCGAAAGAGGGGGCTTTGCACTGGGCGAGTCAGAATTTCGTCTGTGGAGGCGCCAACTTTCCAAGCTGTACTTTGTGCTGTGGTTCAATGTCCGCAGCTACCATAAGCATGTGAACGCAAAATTAGGTGCGACTGAGTGGTTTGCGTAAGTGGCGTTTTAAGCGTGTGACATGGATGATTCTTTACCACTTTTGATGACGCTATTTCTCCTTTTTTGCGAAATATATGACCAACGCAAAGTCGATGGATGGACAGTGCTGCATGATAATAAAAAATGCATTGAAAGCACTGGACCAATTTGTCTGCACACGGCACATATGAAAGCAAGCCTCAGTCGTGCAAAATTTCCTGCAACTTATCCAAATCACCATTTACATTTGTCCGACCACCACGCGGCAGCACTGTCGCTGCCAAGTAAATGGCCCCTATTGACGCGTAACGTATTCAGTATACGCCACGGGATTTATGTAACGCACGGAATCCGGAGGGTTGGACTTCTGCATGGTCTGCAGTCATGGAAACCGGACTCGTGGCGGCGATCCGAAACGGCCGCTCGTTGAAAGGACGTCTGACGCTGCGCCATTCAGTCCCGGTAGGACATTCAGCCGCCCTTTTGCTCCGCACAGCGCGCCGCTTCCCGCCTCCACGTCTGCAGCTTCAAATGCACGGCCTGAGCCAAAGCGGCCGACAAAACGCAGCGGCCTTTTGCGGGGCCTAAAGTCATGCAGTTTCCGGGTTAGTGGCAATGCGTCACTGCCAGCGTCTACCGAGAATTGCATGCAAATCACAATGGGCGCCGAATACTGCGCCCTGGTCCGGATGTGACGCGGACGGCGTGGCGTGCCCAGCCCGGCCATTAACTCGAATTTAGCAGCAGGTTCCGTGCCTGGTCCGCGTAACGCTCGTTGCACCGCGGCCCAATGGCGCCTCGATAAATCAGAGCAACTTTCCGACGCGTAATGATGTTGAACATGCTCTGCGAACTGCGTTTTGGTGCGTGGGAGTGGTGCACGCTCACAGTTTGCTGGCCGATTCTCCGGCACAGAAGGCCGGTTGTAAGCTAGGCTCAGTGATTACTATGATGACAGGTTTTGTGGCGCAGTTTTCGTTGCTGTGCGGAGGTGCCATCATGTGACAGATGGCCTGTTGCAGCAACATGTTGCTGTCAATGCTTGTGCAATGCATTTGGCGATGGCCAATCCTTCGGGTTCAAAATAAGTTACAAGGGAGATGCCACCGAATGAACTTTTGCAATACAATTTCCCAGCTGATCTTGCAGATCTATGGTGAGGTCTCAGGTGATCATCCGAGACCAGGTCACTTCGTGGGGTACTACTCACTTTCCACGCTTCATATTACCTTTCGACAGAAGCCGTATATTCGCGGAGTGGTACATCAGGTAAAATAAAACGTTTTTTTCCTTCCGGGCTCGCTTTTGTTAGCATTTACTGTGAGTAGCGATAACATATCACAAAGCTGAACGTAGCTGCAAAACGCCTGGAGAACTTCACCCAATGTGCCCATCGGGCTGGTTTCCGGTTTATAAACCCGGCTTTGGACTGTTTTCCCGCAGTGCGCATGGGACAGTTGTATCACATCGCTATCCTAGGGCTACCATACACTTCAACTCTGCGACTTTACAAGGGCAGTGCTGCCAAAACTACTTCAAGCGGTTAGGTGCATTGCGTTGCCCAAGCAGTTTCTTTACACCTTATTAGTAAGCCAATGCTAATCTGTGTGCTAATGCAGTGTATCCACAGAGGAGCAATGGAGCGAATGGACTCGATTCGAACTCCATTGTGACCTGTTCCACAATAGGTCGGATTACCCGTCTTGCTTGCTACGAAAGGCTTTATCAGTGATAGGTGCAATGTACGACAGCGTTCTGCTAAACAAAAAACTTGAAGAGGATAGTTACGGAAATACGAATCGTTGCACAATGCGAGGCATCAAATGGCATTGTTGAATAATAAGATGCATAAAAATTTAAAATGTTGTCTTGATGTTATCATCTAGAACGTGACATCAAATCAAATTAAGCAAAATATATCAAAAATTCAAAATCACAGGGTCCATGAACTCTAAGCCCAAAGTTGCACCCCTGAACCGCTGGCTTCGTCGCGTAAATATTACGCACAAACCGCCCCAAAACCGCGACAAATCTTACTCATAGTTCAAAACCTTCCATGCTTTCGCCATACGCCCCGATCATGTGCTCGGTTTCTTCCAGAGCCTGGAGCACCCGACTGATGCGGTCACATGGCCAAGTTTCTTTCACAACTTCTGCTTCGAATTTTTTTAAACTCGGAATACGCTATTGTTGAGTTTTGGCTGCACCTACTCGAACAAAAAGACAATTTAGCATTTATTGGAGAGGCGTGGGGCTGTTTAACATTTGCTTGGAAAATTGGTACCTTAAACGGTAGAGGTAAGAAGTGTGAATTAATAAGTATGGTGCCACAACCCGTCTCCAAGTTTCAAAAGCTATTGCGAAACACATGACGTTCACACCTACATGCATACCTCGCGCACGACGCACACGACGTACACGACGTACGCATACAACGTCGTTGGCGACGTTTCAGTGGTTAGTGTGTGCGTCTTACCTGTTTGGTGCGCGCGGCGAAAGCCTCATAACGCCGGTATCCTCTAAGAATTGGTAATTAGGCCTGTACTTCACGCGGAAATATTTCAAACCAGTGGGACACCCAAAGCAACGCTAGGACAAACCCAGCGTAGGTCATCATAGCTGGATGGAAGGCTGTAATGCTCTCGCCATTTTATTCGGGTGGCACACGAATTAAAGCAGCCCCGTTTAGTTCACGTGTGTATAACATCAATTTTGGAGTACAAGACTGATGGTAGCGCATTTCACTGGTAATTGCTAACCTCACGTCATGTACCAATTGGCCGAGTGAAAACAACACATTATGTGAAAGAAACACGATCAATTCCTTGCACGCGGAACGTCCATCACGTGCGGAAGTGCATTAGCGCAAATTCCAAGCCGGGGTAGACTAATCTACTGGCGAAATTGTAACACCGCTATGGCTTAAGAAGATTCTGCTCGATTCATGCCAGTTGGAGACCACGAAAAACATCGCACATCACCCCGCTGAGCTCTCACCCAGTGCCGCCACCGCCGACACCAGCAGGAACAGCCCCACGTGGCCAAACAGGAACTTCAGAAGTCTGGTGCACAGCGAAATCGGCTCATCGTGAGGCGCCTGCGGCAACAGGGACCAGGTTACTCGAAAACAAATGACAGATGACAGAATGTTTGAAACTTTTTTTGGACTTAGGGTGTCAGCGCCGGACTCGGTTCCAGGAGGGGAAGTTATCTGTATTGAGTGACAGGTTTTCACCAAACCTGGGTCGATGTGGTAGCGCTGCCCGATACCCCTGTGTGCGCGTGTCCTGTGACGATCCTGGGGCAAAAATCACGATGCTGAGTGCAGAAACAGATATCCAAAGCAACGTCATTATATCCTGAAAATGGAAAAGGTCGAAGCGAGCATACCTTGCGTTTACTCAGAAGAGATTGGAGCGAAAAATCGCCAAGCACTATTCTTACAAGTCACCGGATTGTTTGGTTTTGCTGTATTTTTTACGGTTTGACAGCCCGATCACATTTTTTACTTTGTCTGTGAGACCAGGACTTGGACAAACCACGGCATGTCTTTTTCCGGCAGGTAAGTATATTTACGTTTACCAACATGAGCGTACATAACTCGGCGGACAAGACAAAGATGTTGCAAAACCACGGAAACACGATGCTGGAAAATCGGTGATATCGCCCCCATGCCGCACTAGGTTACTGATCTAAAGCCTCATTTCTGAAGGCTTGCAGGAACATTTTTACGTCAAATGCTAGTTTTTTGGCTCACTACCAGAATTGCGCGTTTGGGGAAGATAGCAACCTAATTCCTTTACAGTCACGTATGTAGTCTTCTTTCCGTGGTGTGTCCAAAACAGCATTACTCCACTTATGATTTGTTTTACCTTTGATCAACGTCGGGCCAATTCACTGCGTTGGATCTGATTCACAGCATGGTTTTAGCATGTTCTGCCGCAAAAGTACCATTCTAAGCTCCAAATTATTGCATGTTTTTGTTTCTGATTCACAGCATGGTTATAACATTTTTTGCCGCAAAAGTGTCATTCTAATCCCCAAATTGTTGCATGCCTTGACTTTTCCTAAGCACTAGAGTGAATCTGATCGTCACTTTGATCGTTGGACCGCAGGAGATCAAATTGGACGTCGTTGGATTCCGTAGGCACTAGGAAGATTGACTTCGCAGCTCTAGCTCAATAAATGACCAAATGGTGTAGAGTTCTTACACTCCGCCAGTTACGCGAGTCAAAATACCTTCCGCTCGGTCGGGGGTGTTATGGAATAATTCACAGGCTGTTTTCAACATGCAAGTGCGCGCCATCTATGTTTGGCATATTGTGGGGGATTTTGACAACTTCATTGTTACGTTATCTATCTTGTAACCATACAAAGATTCGTACGTGGAGCCAAAGAAGATGTGTACAACAGCGGGCAAATTTTGCAAGCTTTATTATAACTTTTCCATTCAGTTCATACATGCGAGGCTTTGGGGTCTGTCATATCACACTTCACCTGCCCTCTTGAGTATCTCGATTAAGGAGCGGGGTTTGAAAACATTTATCGGGGGGGGGGGCGGGGGGGGGGGGGGCGGGGGGAGTCGGGCTGCCAGGGTTTTCCCAAACAGGATAGTTTTATGCTTACTGTATTGGTCACGGGCGCCTTTTTCGATAACTCGGTTGCATGTCACTCGGCCGGGACAAGAATTAGGCCAGTCAAGGCATTCCTTAAGACACATAACTGCACCATGATTCGAGTTTAAGCTGTAGAGAAGTCTCCACACTGTAAGATCCAGTCGATGAGCTCACTGTACGGGGAGGTGGGGAGCGGGGATTCGTCGAAAGATTTTCAAGCATCACACTCTAAAAGCCACATTTGTCCCAAGCACTTTGCAGCCGCGTTCCACTGAAGTGGCTTCATCATCGCAGAGCTAGCGCGACCTTGCTTTGTCATGACCGACCTATTTGCTTCCTTGCGTTCAGGCAGCGGTACAACGATGATCGTCCAATCGCTGCTCTTCAGTATTCACGGTCTAAACGCAGTAATCTGTCGGTGTGATGAACGTCATTGCAATGCAAGTGTTTCTTAATGTCACTGTGAGTCACAGCCCAGTATGTTTGGCAGCAATGTGCTGGCAGCACTTTCTTTGGCAGCGATGTATTGGGCAGCCATCTCACGGACGTCTGGCAAACGACGCATTCAGTAGACACGTTGCACATCCTTTGAAAACGCATCTATTGCCTTTCAAAGAGCTTAAGTACACAGTACAGTAAAGTACAGCTACCGGATCAGATTGTGACGTGCAATACCATTTAGGGACTTTAAGGCCTGCATTACCATGAAAGGCATTCAGAGAGTACCAAAGAGAATCAAAGAACACAATGAACGGGTGCTCAAAACTCACGTCGACTGCAGGATACTCGGATAACCGTTTGACGACTTTTCGCTGAAAACTCCAAATACTTAAGTAGCCACCCCTCGCAAGAGGTTACGAGACGTGTACGCGAGGGGGTGCGGTGTGCACAATGCACGAGAGGTGCACGAGAGGTGTACGGTGTACGAGAGGAGAGTACGCGGCGAGGAGCCTCACCGGGTGGCCAGCTTGTGCAGCTGGCTTCTCATCCATGCCTCAGCCGTGGATGATGGCCGCTCGGTCTACAGAACAGCCACCTGTAAAGACATGAATGGTACAATCCTCTCCCAGCACTGCAGGGGAAGGCACGTCCCTTCGATAGTGAGTCAAGTCATGTTGGTTTTCTCTTTTTTGTATTAGGTTCACGGCATGTATCTTGGCCCGCATTTTGAACTACAGCGTGCGAAATTTTGTCTCCATTTTTACGAACTAGCTCGCCCATCCTCCACAACAAACGAGTATCTTTTTCGGGGCTCGTAATCAATTTAATAATTTTGAAAAGGGTGTGGAGCTGCAAGTATCCAAAAATGAGTGTTGTTATGAATCTTTATCTTATGTTATCTTATTTTGTTATGCATCTTTGTATCTTACTGGCTTAGTATTTACAGTCAAATGAGCCATCGCAACATAGTTTAGTTACTTCGTGACATGTTGCCATTACATTTAATTGCATTTAAGTAACAATGCATAATGTTTCGATTGTGGTTTGCTTTTGGAGATCTTGTTGCAATATCCTCGAGCTGAAAGTAAATGCAAGGCTCCATTTCAGGTCAGCGAGACAGAGACTTTACCGTTACACCTCACGTGAAATCGTGGTTACTGCTCTTACCCCACTGTTGGCACATTCATCTCACTCTCCATCTGTCAGACGTTGGTAAGCCCTATCGAGATGAAATACTTGATAAATAGGTTGGCAGCTGACGTAAATGAGTCAAGACACCAGCGTGCAACAACACAATATCGTGTGATTTAACTGCACATTTCGTTTGTCTGAACATATTCACATGCCCGCCACCCCGCAAAGCACTAAAACAAACTTATCGGAGGTACGCAGCAGCCGTCACTCCCATCCCACCCCTCCTCTCCGTTGGCCACCGCTCTTCACCCGTCAAACAGCTTTCTGCCCCCCCCCCCCCCCCCAACACACGCTCGCCCCACCCATTCCCTCTTGCGTCACCGCGGCGGTGGGGGGGGGGCACGAGGTCAGAGGTCTCACCGCACTGACCTTTGCGCTGGTGACCGTCGGGCCCGACTCCCCTCGGGCGCCCATGGGCCGTCTCGGCGGGGTCAGCACGAAGCCGTGACCGCTCGCCGGCGGCCCGCGTAGGAGAGTGACCCCGCGGCGGCCCCGGCCCACCCCGGCTGCTGTTGACCCCGTGGTCATGGTGGCAGCCAGCAAACAATGACCCCATGAAATCAGCCCATCTATCGTAACGGCGCGGCGCTGGCCGCCTGACCGGCTATTATAGGGCATTACTGGCGCCTGCCGTCGCCCAGCGCTCGGATACCCCCCCCCCCCCCCCCCCCTCCTTCGATACCCAAACTTGTGACCTGACCTGATCGACCTGACGTTCCGGGCTGGTGACCTGCGGGGAAGATGTGACGACTATGAAAAGGCTCTGAGTGGAATTCTTCGCGGATCCAATTTCCTTTAGTCAGCCCATCAGCTACGCCAGTGGCTGTCTATGCCCGTATCCAATCGCAAGCCGTTACTTATCAACAACCGGCCCGCTACGAACTTGTCCGGATTTTTTCCAGGACTCAAGTGCTGTTTTTTGGAAGGGGCCTAGGGAAGTTTCCACGCAAGTTAGTGCTTTCCATGGATCGTTGCAAAAAACTATCGGTACAACTAATCCTGACTAAAAGCAGCGCAAACAGCAATAACATCAGTTTTATTTACATAGGAAAATATGCGGTTGCCAGAGAGCAACAGAAATGTTGCACAAATGGAAATCACAAGTATACCGAAATTGATTTGCTTTTGAACCATCAGACACGAAAACTCAGATGTCACGTGATTTTGGTTCAAAAGCGAGCAATGTGCAGAATTTCTTGGAATGGCATCCGATATTTCGCACCCGTACCCGCACCTGTATCCATACCCGTACCTCTACCCGTGCCCGTACCCGTACGTGTACCGGTACCCGTACCCGTACCCGTACCCGTACCCGTACCCGTACCCGTACCCCGTACCCGTACCCGCGTCCGTATCCGTGTCCGTGTCCGTGTCCGTGTCCGTGTCCGTGTCCGTGTCCGTGTCCGTGTCCGTGTCCGTGTCCGTGCCCGTGTCCGTACCCGTACCCGTACCCGCACACGTGCCCGTACCTGTACCCATGCCGTAATTTTACAAAAATGTGTGACCAACCCAACTCGTTGTCCATTCCGGGCACACGTAACCGGTAAACCTAATCCGCGAAGCCCTCTAATTCGGAAGGAGCCTGTTCGGTCTGCATGCGACTCATTCTACGTCTGATTCGGTGTAGCTGGGACTGAGCAGGTATCCAGGTTTGTTGCCATTGTTCAGGGGCTTTGGTTAGATGGAACGTGTTTCCCCTTGACACGATGGTCATGGTGTGTGCATGTGTGTGCCTTTATAAATTATGTATTAGGGGCAAGTGCTTGCGGGCTTGCTTCCCTAAGAAACGGAGGTTCTATGGCCGATTCGTGTTAGAATTATTTCGGGTGGGATATGCTGGGTGTGATGTGCTAGGTGTGTTGTGCTGGGTGGGATGTGCTGGCATCGAGGAACGTAGGTGGGTCATGGAAAACAAACTTTACCCATGAGCCAGTGTTTTCGTGCAGCACCACGGGTTGATTCGCTTGTAACCTTGACGGAAAGGTGCGTGACAGCCAACCCCCCCCCCCCCCTCTTTCTCGCCCTCCCTGCCTTGTACTCGTGTTTTCGTGCTTTTTTACACGCGTGTACGTGCTAGGCGGTGGCTGTTCTGAAGGACTCCATTGTGTCTGTTCAAGAAACAATCGTAAAACCCATTGGGGACCCATAGCTAGCATAGCATAGCATTAATTCGACCCATAAGCCCATAGCATTAATTCTAATCTAGTGTAGGCGTCACCATAGCGCTTGCCGACTTTGTGCCGTCTAGTCATGCGTCAAAGCTGATGAAAAGGCGGTATAAAGCTCAATGATCATTTATTTCGGCTGCCTCCATGAAGCAGTAGAAATAAATGATCAGGAAACATAATTCGAGGCATTTCTCCGTGGTGAGCTCACGCTCTGCTCACTTAGGCAATGTCAGCGGTCGTTCAGCGTTCAAATTTTGCTCTCCAGATTTCCCCTCCGTTGAAGTGCTGTTATGCATTCAAACAGTTCGAGAAAGCCTCACTTGCCACCACTGCAAATGCAGATCTAAGTTCGCCATTGTCACTTGTCAATTCTGGTCGTTTTTGTCACCTGTCAGTGTTCGCCGAAGTTTGGCCCGAAGTTTGGGGTGCATCCACAACGTTTTGCTTAAAAGCAAGCCAAATTTACACTGATTCTCGTTACCGCGTCAGCTTTGAGTGTTGGTTTGTGCATGGAGCGGTGACTTACAGCAATAGCGTAGTCTTCGCAAGGCTAAGGTCAGAAAGCCTCAACGAAGATACTCAGCAAAAGTTTACCCACGATTTCTATTTATGGTAGGTGGTCACTCAAGATACTGGAAATAAAATGCACGACAGTTATGCTCTATGAAGTCCGCGTATTTTCCATGAAGTTGCCAGCGGCACTCGAATCACCGACAACTTGTTGTCGTTGTCCGCTATTACTGTCCGCTGCAACAAGTTGTCCGCTGTTAGCCTGTTTACGACTGCAGGACGGCGCCACAAAAGTCAGCATTCGCTGAGGACAGTGTTAGAGGTCATCTGCCGAAACAGTCAACACTGGGAATCGATGGCATCAAAGCGTCGCACCGATACTCGACCGTCGTCGCCATGCCTCTCACGCTAGCGATGCAAGATGCATGTCTACCATCGCTATCGATATTGTTAGATCATCGATCATTGTTCTATCGACCATCGATAGAACAATGCGGCTTAACGTGGCCTTTGCAAGTGATGATGGTACACCAGCCAAGTTCGATTTACGAACATTTCCACTGCCTCTTCTGAGTAGATGGTCACTACTCAAGGATGCCTGCATTTTTTGGCTCTAAGTTTGTTTGCAAATCTTTGAACCGTCGTGCCTCGTCACTTACTTGAGCTATTCAAAGCGCGAGGCCTACACATGCTTCCTCATCGCATTCCTCTGTCCTCGGTCCATGCGCAGCCGCTCTAATGATAGCGTGAAGAGGGGGGAGGGGGAGGGAATCGACTGCCGGGCTGCAGCCCCCCCCCCCCCTCTCCTCCCCCACTCCTGCACCCTGCAGCACCGGGTCACGGCGGGGCGGCTCCGTCTAGGGCTCACGTCTGTTTACCAAACAGCAGGTCCTGACATCGCTGGCAGCCGGGCTCAATAAGAAGCGAATAAAACTTACGTCGATGCGGGTTAGGATGGTAGCGATAGAAACGTCAGCGAAAGTTACAATTGTCAGCGTGATGGTGATATGAATAACAGACGGTGCAGGCGATCGTCATCCTTTGTCTGGTGACAAAGGCGGTGATGCGATGATGATGATGATGTATATTATGATGATGAAGAAGAAGAAGAAGATGATGATGATGATGGTGGCAGACGGCAACCCTCCATGCCTACTGCTCGCCGTTTCGTTGATGATTACCCAGGGCCGCCGCACGGGTGAAGTCACGGGCATTCGCCGCTAGTCCGGGGCGAACTTGGCCAGGCGTGACCGTCACGCGCCACGAGACGAGCGCTCCACTCGTGGTCGGCCACACAGGTGTGTGCGCGGGTCGTGCTGTGACCCAGGGCGCGGCTGTGCGGTGGAGGCATCGACGATAAATGTCGCGTCAATTCAGCATCCCAGGCCACGGGAATGCGCGTCGCTGGGGGCCTGGCATGCAACTCGTCAGCTTCAGTATGCAAGAGTCTGCGAAGAATGTTCCATCGTACCACATTAGATACAAGAGGTTGCGTACCATATTCCATCGTACCATATTAGATAGAAGAGGCTGCATACAATGCTGCAGCGTGCCCAGCAGAGCCCATATTGAGATCCAGAAGGGATGTCTGCTTTGAGAAACTAAGCCTTCGAAATTCTTTCGGAAGAAACTCAGGAAAGCGGAACTCCTCGCGGAAGATGGCCCCGCAAATTGCCATAACAGATGGCAGGGGTCAAGCAGATGCTAAATATGAAAGGCAGGACACATCTGGGCCAGTCAGGCGCGTGCACCGCTGAGCCCCGAGTCTCACCACAAGCATCGGACCAATGCTAGTCTCCCGGAAAGTCAACTGGGGCGCATCGGGGCTCGCGATGGCCCACTTCTGTAGCGGAAGTGTCATGGATTGCGAGCCCCAGTTAGCAGCGTTCGGGGTCAGCGCGCGGAGCGACCCAGGTGGTTGCGCTCTAGCACATCAGTCAGCTCTGAACGCTACCCGGCAGTCACCAACCGGTCCGGAGCGAGCCCCACCGGCCGGAGCGAGCCTCGCCGGCCGCAGCGAGCCACGCCGTCTGGAGCGAGTCTCGCCGGCTGGAGCGAGCCTCGCCGGCTGGAGCGAGCCTAGCCAGTCCTGAGGGGCCTCGTGTCCTCCGCCCAGGTCTTGCTGTCGGTCACCGGGGTGACGTTGACACCGGTCAAGGACACCGCGCTCACGGGTTCTCCAGGAGACCCGGCCGGGAGAGGCGCGGGCAAAGTCCGCGTGTGCAGCGGTCGCCCCCCTCGGCGGCACTTCCACCCGATCGGGGAAGGCGCAGATATATCAGACATACTGGGGTTGGATGTGAGGGTAATTTACACACATAGATATGCCTATATTTGACTATGTCTTTTACTTTTGAGCTTGACTTCTGCAGTGTTGACGTTTATCAATGTTAATTTTTTTTCGTATTTAATTCACATCATGTTTGACTAAGTTGCGTTTTGCCCCTTCGTATTTGTCCTCTTTTAACTTATATTTTGATCTTTCGATCTTACTCGTGACCTTTTATCCTCTGATATTCTCCGTTCTGACCTTCCTTTTAAACGTTTGTCTTCGACATTTTCCTCAATACCGTCTTTTCCATTCTCTTCCACCCGGACACCTTTGCTGTGACTGGGTCCTCGGTATGTGATGTCGCTTTCGTCAAGCGCCACTTGTCCTGAATTCTAAAGGTCCTCGTTTGTGGCCGCTATTATTGGTTTTGCTAGTGATTACTGATTTTCACTCTATCATGTCGTGCTGGCCAATGGTGGTATCAAGTAATTATAAGAATGCATTGTGATGATATTTGACGTTTCAATGGAGCGTTCATGGTCGACAGCCTGACTCCTATAAGCGTCAAATGCAATCTTAACACCATAAATGATTGCTCAATATCGCCGTTCAACTGGCAATATCTCGCGGTACATTACGAGTTGGTTGTTTTCAGTGTTAGAAAATGTGTTGGTGTGAGTTGAGAGTTCCTACGTGGATAGTTGTTTCTTGAATTTAAAGTGTAATTTCTGCTTATCCTTGGTCGCTTGCGATCATACACACAGCGTATAGCGTTAGCTTATTAGCGTTAGCTTATATAGCGTTAGCTTAGCGTTAGCGTTAGCACACAACTTATAGCGCAGCGTAGCGAGTGCTAAAACCGAGCTAATGGTTATGTGATAACGTCATTTAACTGGTTCATCCTGGTATATTATGGTCGATGATCCTAAGAACTCTAAACTCGCAATGTCGAAAACCAAGGGACTCAAGGAACTTCTTGCATTCATCATCAAGTGGCGTGGGTCTGCTTCGCTGGTTACGGGTTTTGCGCCCGCCATGATCAGCAAACAAGACGGCTAGATTAAAAAATGCGATGATCGGGAAAGTCACGCCTGATAGTGAAGTGTAGTATAATAGTGCAGTCACGCCAGCAGTCTCAGTGATGGATGTGTAAATTTATCGATGCGATGCTGAAAGGCTAAGGAGTAGGGGGAACATTACAACTTTATAAAACAGCTTCTCATTGCTGAAAAGCTATAATCAGTCGTTCAGCATATGGCGCCTTCTTAAGTTCCCAAGTTTGTTCACCTTTCAAATACAATCTGCTCTACCCTCGGTCTCCGCTTCAATGTCATTTTCTTTCAGCAGCACGGTTGGATGTGACAAATTCCCCTTCGCGGAAATGTCGGCTTGGGCTGGTTACGTTACAACAATTACTTCCTGAGAAGACCGCTGCAGATCTGCAGAATCAGCAGAGCGGCCAAGATGGGAGCATTGCTGAAACTGTCCTGGGTCATCTACACGACCGGGACTTCGTCCGCACGAGGACCGTATGGGGATACGTGCAGGTGCTCTGGCGGGACTTCGCGGGAAGTCAGTACACAAGCAGAGCGGACGGGGATTGCGAGAAAACACGATGAAACGGTGAATTTGGATAAGCGGGTTGATGTTTCGCAACTGCAAGAGGTGTCGATCCTATGGGAAATTTACTTAGGCCTTACAGCACAGACGACAGAGCCACCTCAATTTTTCACCTCCGCTTCCTCGACAGGAGACAGCGAATGGCGATGAGAAGCATTTGTATTAGTAATGGAGGGAGTCCGGAAGACTGTGGAGAGTTTAGTCGATATCGCTGCCGAACATAAATGCAACTGAATATTCCGAACGTGCCTGGACACCGCGTACGGTAATGTGCGATGCTTTCGGTGTAAGCGAAGCGTCACATCGCTGCGACACGAACAGGCGTTCGCTGGCACAATCCAACACATCCAACGGTGACGTCTCCAACGGTGACGTCTCCAGCGGTGTTGTCTCCAACGGTGGCGTCTCCAGCAGCGGCGTCTCCAGCGGTGTTGTCTCCAGAGGTGGCGTCCCCAGCGGTAGCGTGTACAGCCGTAGCGTCTCCAGTGACGTCGTCTCCAACTGCGACGTCTCCAGCGGAATTGTCTCCAGCGGTGGCGTCTCCAGCGGTATTGTCTCCAGCGGTGGCGTCTCCAGCGGTGGCGTGTACAGCCGTAGCGTCTCCAACGTTGACGCGTCCAGCGGTGGCGTCTCCAGCGGTGACGTCTCTAGCGGTGGCGTCTCCAACGGTGGCGTCTCCAACGGTGACGTCTCCAGCGGTGGCGTCTCCTGCGGTAGCATCTCCAGCGGTGTCGTTTCCAACGGTGGCGTCTCCAACGGTGACGTCTCCAACGGTGGCGTCTCCAGCGGTGTCGTCTCCGACGGTGTCGTCTCCAACGGTGGCGTCTCCATCGGTGACGTCTTGCTCCAGCTCTCTAACCCTCCTGGTTGTTGGGGCGCCTCCTGCGCTGCTTCCGCCGACGGCGAGCGCCGCCACACCTCCCCGGCGCTGGCGTATTATCCGCTGTGGCCATCATGTGCGCCTTGATCCGGGCGCAGCCGGACGCCGCCGATATGAACCAGCATTCAATGAAGGGGTCGGCTGAACGATCTGCAAGGGCGCACTGTGTAATGATCTCCTGCGCCACCCCCTTCATCACCTCGGGCGCCTGGGAAGACATGACGTTGCTCAGCATGGCGTCCTCGTTGATCTGGTCACCGTTGGCCTCCCCGAGCATCTGCATGACGCACACTACTGTCGCCTTAAAGAGCGCCAGCTGCTGGTCCACGCTCTGCACGGCTGTGCTGTCTGGCGTCGCCTGGTCGTTGTTGCCGCTCTCGAAGACAGCCATGTACCGCTTGACGAACCTGATGCCGGCATCGATCGCCGGAAGGCGTACGCCCGTCTCATTTGCGCAGCTCATAAAGAAGTCGCCGTGGTATGCTCCCTGCACGGGCTTCATGCAGACGCCCGCATCCATGAACATGAGAGCTTGTCCAGTCCAGCTTCCCTGGTTGCCGCCAGCCTCCGCGCCCAACTTCTCCATCGTACTCCGCCTGCATTCCACGTCAGCCAGCCCGCGCCAGCAGGTCAACATGTAAATGCCCTGTTGCGGCGCCGGTATTGTGTCGTTCATCATGCTTCGGCGGCACTGCTCCATCAGCCCCAGCTGCACCCCTCGCCAGTCGTTGTCTCCCTCCGAGAGCGACATGACGAAGTTGCGGATGCCTTCCTCGTTCAGGCCCATGCTGTTGACGATTTGAAGGCTGAAAAGCACGCAAGCGCGTCACTTGGGGTCACTTGGGGTCACGTAGGTTAAATATAGCAAGAAGGCGTTAACCGGGGTAGGTGGAGCTTGTGTCACTTGGAATGTTGTCAGGTCAGACGGGTCCAGTCAGTGACATGTGGAGAGCCTCTCCTTGTCTGACAGACACTCAGGCAGGGTAGCGGAGGCGAGGGTGCAGCAAAGACAGCCCCATCTCTGCACAGGTCATGCACCCACTCTCTGACGTCACACAAAAATAAGCGGACAAAACTCGCTGCCCTTCCCTCCGCAGAAGACGCGCCGTAGCTCCGCGCCTCACCTCTCGGCCAGACACCGCAGCGTCTCTCGGAGGCCCCCCGACGCCTGTCCGGCCGCTACGCACTCCGCCATGTCTGGGACCTGGAAGTCAGCGGGCAGGCAGCCGGCTGCTTGCAAGCGGCCGAACGACACAGCTTTGGCCACATTCTGCCGACGACGTCTGCGGTACTTCCGCCGCCCTGTCGGCATGACAGGTCACCGGGGTAGCCGGGTTACCGGGGGAACGATAAAAGGTCACCAGAATGACCGGCGACGGAGGCAGATCACCGGGATCACCGGCGACGGAGGCAGATCACCGGGATCACCGGGGACGGAAGCAGGTCACCGGGGTCACCGGGGACGGAAGCAGGTCACCGGGGTCACCGGGGGAACGGAAGCGGACCACCGGGGATCACTGAAGGAACGAGAGCACATGGGCACTGGGGTCACCGGGGAACGAAAGCGGGTCACCGGGGTCACCGGGGGACAGAGGCAGGTCACCGGGATCACCGGGGACGGAAGCAGGTCACCGGGGATCGGTGATGGCAGCGGAAGCATGTCACCGAGATCGCAGGGGACGGAAGCGGGTCACCAGGGAACGAAGGCAAGTCACCTGCGGTTCGGCGTGGTAACGAAAGCATGTCACCGGAGTCACCGGGGGACGGAAACAGGTCGCCTGGAATCACTGAGGGGGGCAGAAGCACGTGGACAATGGCTTTCACGTGGAAATGGTTCATGAAAGTGCGTGATGCGTTTTTTCTTCAGAAGACGACCCGTCTTCAAAAGCTGTTGACAAACATGCATCGATTTCCCCGCACCTGCTTATAATGGCGTCAGTCTGTGCCGTGATAGGCAGTGTGGGAAAGCAATATTTTCATGGTTTAAGTTTCAAGCTCATTTATCCATATAATATGGCACATGAGATATACGTTGGACCGGTATATACCTCAATATTCCATTTCAGTTATTCCCATAATAAAGTTTTATTTCTATAGACCATTTGTGCATAAAGGCAACGTTTCAGACGTTCACAACAGAAAACATCAAGAAACCTAAAACAGCAAATAAGTAAAGCTGGGAAAAATGTAAGCTCATGCCAAACTCAAGGAAATGAACGACGAAAAATACGTGAAAGGCAAGCAAGGTACTAAGGGGGCAGCCAAACACAGATTAAGCCAGCCTTGGGAAATCCGATGGGAACGTTTTGGGTCTTGCAGCCAACTTGGAAGGGCTGAGATGCGGGCAGGAGCGGCTGGAACACCAACTCCTCCAGCTAGATGCGATCTCAGCCCCTGCACGTCAAAAATCTCGGCACATTGCTGCTACATAACTATCATATGGCACGAAAGAGTACAGTGTTGCATACAACCGGATGACAAAATCATCCCAGGAGCCTGCAACCCTTACTTGAGTGTTTCATGCAAGGTGCAAGTGACATTGCATACCTTGGGCGCTAGAATCATGTGGAAAACGTAAATTTCGTCAAGAATCGCCGATGCCCCGTGCGGTGCTGGAATGCGTACAGTATTGCTGTTGCAAATGGACTTTAAGGTGAGGTGTACGAAGCGGTAAGTAACTGATTTTTGCCAAACGGACTGTGCGATCATGGATTCAACGCCATTTAATGGAATTAACTACGGGAAATCGCTTACAGGGGCCTAGACGAACCTGGGGAAAACACCGATACTATAGCATTGCAACATCCCTCCCAGGCTCCCGACACCGCCGACACCCAACGACCCCGGCCAGGGCTGGGCCCCAACGTACCCCGGCGCCCACCCGTTCGTGGCTCCTCGGGTGCTTACTTGCGGCCTCGGAGACTGCCGTGGCCAGGAGCACCAGCACCAGCACCAGCACCACCAGCCGGCTGACGGAGGCCATGGTGAAGCAGTGGTTACGCACGTTCGCCGCCGCGCTTTATGCCCACCGGGGTGCGGAGTCACGCCGGGCCAAGGTCACTCGGGGTCACACCGGATACTCCCCCCCCGCGCAGTGACGTCCGGCGCAACAACGTGCCATCGACAGGAGTGCACGCCCCGCCCTCTGTCGGTGCAGGGCTGGTCCCTCCTCTCTCAGTCAGGTCAGGAGTCATTGCTCTCGCACTGAGCAGAGCTTTGCCGACGCACACTGTTTATGAACTGTGCGGTTCTTTATCGACGCTTATTGCGTATGAAAGGTGTATTGCCTCATTCCCACTAACTGTTTTGAACTGTGCTGTCCTCCTTCCTCATTCACGGTTCCTGCACTGCGCACTACCTCCGTCCAGACTGCTGATATTTGGGTCAAAGGGCGCTTCGCCAGGCGCGGTTAACTTCATGCCCTTCTGCTCTGCGCGATCCTTCCTGCCGGCTCACTGTTCCTGCTCTGCACAAGTTCTTTCGCTGAGCGCAACGCACTTTGTCATTGAGTGGTTTTTCTCCTAATGCTCCTTTCCATGTCACAGTCCTTTCCACTAAGCCCCCGTCGCCCGTCGCTGTCCCCACCCCCGTTCGCAAGCGGTTACCACTCTCGGATGTTCAGACGCTCATACCATGGCCGACGCACCGGCCACTGTGCCGCAGCTTGAAGAGTCGAAAAACGCTTAATTTTGCTTTCCTGGCTGAAGCACGTGAAGCGTGGTATTGGAAGACCCTCCAGCACAAATAGAAAGCATGATGGTCTGTTCCTCTCACAGTCCTCTCGTAACTGGGCGGACCTACCTCCTGATTCTTTGTTCCTCCCACGGCCCTCTCGTAACTGGGCGGTCCTACCTCCTGATTCGTTGTTCCTCCCACAGTCCTCTCGTAACTGGGCGGTCCTACCTCCTGATTCTTTGTTCTTCCCACAGTCCTCTCGTAACTGGGCGGTCCTACCTCCTGATCTTTTGTTTCTCTCACAGTCCTCTCGTCACCGTGCAGTCCTTCTTCCTGATGCTCCGTTCCCACGTTACAGTCCTTTCTCCTGAGGGTCCGTCGTCCGCTCCCCCCCCCCCCCCCGTCCTCCCGAAGGGTGTCATCTTTTGGACCCAATCACTCATACCCAGAGCGACGCACAGGTTGCTTCCTCAGAGGGCAGCTCCGAAGAACGCATGGCTTCTCTTTGCTTGTCAAACACACTAGCGAGCATTTCAAGACCCCAAAACACAGAAAAACGCATATATGAGGCTCTGTACCTGTTGCTCACCGAACGGCCCAAGGAGTTTTGCTGTTGGAGCCGTTTTGCTGTTTTCTCCGCTGAATAAGGCTCATAGTATTGTCTTATCACACCAAGCTTCTCTCTCGCTTAAATCATAATCCTCGGCCATGGTGCACTTTATGAGCCTGCAGCAATGATTAATGACTAATCGAGTCAAACAACAACCATAAATGAGGCTATGAATTCAAAAAATCAAAAAAGAAAAAGGCAGGAGCCCTAGGTAGGAAGCATAATATGAGCGTCAAATATAATAATACACGGCTAAAAACAGCTCGATTATAATGGTCTCGTAAACTGCCTATGCCTACAACGACTTGCCCGACACGAAAGCGCGTTGTCAATCTGGTAAATTATTGCACGCTTTTGCGCTTGCTATGTGTGTGTTGGAAATACTGAACACTTCTTGGTTTATATACATATCCTTCTCCTTACCAATTTTTATTCGGGTGTAACAGAAAGCTATTCTGTACGGCGGCAGACGCCACGTGAAAACCAATTAAGCAAGATATGAGCTTGTTGCAGGGAAACCGCAGCTAAATTGTAATTGATAACCCACCATCGGAACCAAACCAATAGCTAACCCCTAGCACACCCCTAAACCAATATAACCCCTAAACCCCTAAACCAAATAACCACTAAACCAACAGCTAACCCCTAAAACTCAAGGGCCAAGTAGCTAAGACCGCTGCTTTAGTTTTCCGTTAAACGTTCTGGACAGACGGTCATTGGCCTTGATCGTGAGCTTTTGTCAGGTTCAACGAAGTACGCTTTCAAGACTCAATTCCATGTGTACCTCTTCGGGACTCATTTTCTAGTGCACCCCTTTCGGGAATCAACTTTGAGCACATCTCTCATCCGTGCGGTCAGCAAAAAGCTGAGACTTCTCAACTGGGTTGACTGCCATAGTCTATGCCAATACCTGCCATGACACGGTTACATCATCTCGATAGATACCGCGTGGTTTCGCAACATGGACATTGAGTTGTGTTACCTCGGTCGGGGATCACTAACTGCGAGCTGTTTTAGCGTGTCCTCGTCTAGATCCCACCATCGAGAGCGATCAACAACGCCAGCCACCGGTACTCCTCGACGAGCAAATGAAATACGTATGCGGACCTTTAACAATGGCATGCGCTGCTTAGGCGGTCCTCTCGGCAAACGCTTTGGTTGCCGATCATTGGCTTCGGTCAAGGCCATCACCGGACTAAAAAAAAGCATGCTCTCAGGGCTCTATTGCAATTATACACTCTTTATCCGTGCAAGCATGAGAAGCTGAGATTGGCTGAAGATGTTTTATTTGACGCATGCGTTCTTTACCCCGGCAGGCAAAACACGATCAGGCTGTCATGGACTGCGTAGACATTATGCCACTGATACACTTAAGTCTATTGTTAGATCATACCACCGATAACAAATGCCGCTAGCTACGATCGGCTGATCAAGAATGACCGATGGATTATAGCCGGACCATAACCATTGCACGTCACCGTCCAGTACGGCAACACAGGGTAATGATGCAATTTCAGTAATCGGACAAGTGCACGTGTGTATTTTAGTGCCACAAGCATGTTATACCGCATATCTACTCTCAGTGCTGGATAGACTTGAAGAATACTGCACGTGGTCTGCGTAAACAATTGTTGGGATTCAGATTCAGGTGTGAAATAGATACTGAGATCGAAGTTGCATACCGAGGCGACGGGCTCTTAAGGGATTGGTCCAAGCAAGAAGTTCTCAGATGGTTTTCGGATAACTTCCAGAAATTACTGACCGCAAAACTTGAATTGTGAAGCCCAAAAAATTTGGAGCCAAGAAAATATTTACAACTTTTTCCCTTTCGCCGTAATGTTTTTGAAAAAAAACGCTGCACGAATCGAAGTACTGCAATGTAAAACTCGTTTCCCATGAGCTTGTTCGGTAGGCAGTGGCTCGGACAAGGGGGGGGGGGGGCATGGCGCTTTATCCCCCCCGTCAGGCTCGAACGCGATTGCCTTTCCAGCGCACACACGATTTCATAGCCCCGTCAACAAAGGACGGTAAGTCGGCACGCTGGGGCGGCACTGGGGACAGCTTGGGCAACAGCCCGGGGCGTGGAAACAAGGAAGAATCTGATTCCAGCATGCGGGGGCAACTCTCCTCACTTTAGCAGGCCCTTAAGGCCCTGACATGGCTGGAGGACCACTTCGAAGCCGGCATAGTCAACCGAAAGACTGGCATGTGGCAACCCGTAGCCGGCTCTCTCACGTTTTACGTATGAGGGTTACGGAAATTCCGTGTCTGCGGAAAGAGCCCCCAGAGCGTTGGTGACGTGAGAAGGCCATGAGCCAGGTGGCGCACAAACCGCACTTGACACGTGCGCCGAAATCAGGGGTGTTACTTGTTAAATCGGTTTGGGGGCTGAGTCGATAAGAAAGACATAACGTGCCCGTACGTACAGCATTCCTTAGCTTTCTGTCATTGATTTGTGTTCCGGAGAACAATGTGAACTTTACCTAGAAAAGTTTTCAAAAATATCCGTTGATTTTATTTTTTGTGGACGAACGCCTTCCTATTTCAAGGCGAAGTTAAGATGCATTTTTGTGAAAAGTCGACAATAGAGTGCAAATCACCAAAAAAGAAGCATCTCAGTAATTCGCGCGCTTATTCTTACCGTGAGTGTCGTTCATCGCTCATCGAACGGGGCTCGAAGACCAAAAAGACGGTTCTACATAGAATGGCGTAATCATGGCGTAGGCACGCCCAGAAAAGAGTCTATTAAACATTTTTAAGTACACTGTCACAGTGAACCTATACATGACAACTAAAGCTGAGCTGGTGCGACCTTCTCAATACACATTTCGATGGCTGGAAGGGGCAGGCTGGAAGTAGAGATACGCAGATAGTTCGATGGCTGGAGGTAGAGATAGGCGGCCGAATGAGCCTCCAGAGTGGCCGCCATAAAAAGAGGCCTTCCCATGTTTTGATATGTATTTGGGGTTGATGTAAGCAAGAAATTTCTCCAATCCTAGTGTTTCGGGATCATTAGTTGGAAACTCTTATTTGGAAACAATCTTCCTTCAGTCTGCCAGGAGACAGCGGTGAAACGACGCGTTAAAAAATGCATTTGCTATATTGAGGAAATTCGACGTTTCAAAGCTGCGCAAGATCAAAATTTTTCACAAAAGTCGACCGACACCTACCAAATATCTTTTTCACTCTGGAAAATACCGCCCAAAATGTGTTGGTTCCATTCATTGGCACAATTTTTGTGGTACAACCACAGGAACTCAATTTAGCAGCTGAAGCAACGTGGTGCCGCCTTCCGCTCCCGCTGATAAGAATGGCGAGTACCGTGTAGAATTGAATTCCGTACCTCTGGTCCCTGAGCCACGCTGCTTAACTAAGGCGCTACGGTAGCCCCGAAAAGCAGCATTGCTATGATTGCATTTGATTTGTAACACCTGAAAATTATTCCAGACCAATTTCATTTGGCAGGCGGTAGGAGAGACGTGGTAATATCGTACCAAGAACGTTGAAGATCCATGGTAAGGTGGCCTCGGCTTTTCAAATTCGCGGTGGATTTAAGGGTACAAGACAGTATTCAGCATGCAGAGGGTCGCTGACATTATTACGGACATCGTAATAAAAACACGTTTTCAAATACGTGTCCGTTATTGTGTGCTAAAGATAAAAACCAACCAAAATGTATCTTTCATGTTTAGAACATA